TAGTTGTAGTAGTAGGAGTAGAAGCAGTAGTAGTAGTAGTAGTAGTAGTAGTAGTAGTAGTAGTAGTGGTAGTGGTAGTGGTAGTGGTAGTGGTAGTGGTAGTGGTAGTGGTAGTGGTAGTGGTAGTAGTCGTCGTCGTCGTCGTCGTCGTCCTAGTATCAGTAGTAGTCGTAGTAGTATCAGTGGTTGTCGTAGTAGTATATTATTATATCATCATCATTTGTATTCTTATTAGTATTAGAATCAGGGTCAGTAGGAGCAGGAGTGGGAGTAGGAGGAGGAGGGCGGGCTTTATCATCTGCCTATATAACTATATCACTACAGCCTGCTGTCTTCCAGTGATCAAGGCCCCTACCTTAGCTTGACAGATTCCCTAAACCCTAAACCCTTGAGCCCGCAACCCCAAACCCGTGAACCCTCACAATAAACTCTCAACCCATGCAAACCCTTGAACCCTCAAGTAAAGCCCCACACTCTAAGCCCTAAGCCCTACACCCTCAATCCCTAACTTCAAACCCTAAGCCTTATACCCTACACCCCGAGGTTTCGCGCCGGGGAGTTCCTGGCGAAGCAGGGTGATGTGGGTAGGGAGCTCAAGGTCATCAAGACCGGAACTGCTGCCGTCGTCATGCGCCCCGACAGCCTCCCGTCTTCAAGGCTTATGAGTGTTGGGCCCTAAACCCTACTTTGAGGTTCACGGGTAGTTGTAAGTGGGGTGTACAAAAGGGATACTGAACGTAAGAGCCTTCCTTAAAGGCATCTTCACTGGATCTACTTGGAGGTTTTGGGTAGTTGTAAGTCGGGTGAAAATTCAAAGCCCCCGAATGTGGGTTATGACTATAGTTACCCTACTTATAACCCCACTTGTAACTGCCCATGAACCTCCAAGTAGCCACTGAATCCTAAACCCACCCTAAACCCTACACCGTTTAGGTCCACTTTTTGGACGATTTTGGTTCTGCGTTTTGGTAGGTTAAGGTAGTGCTGATTCCGGAATGTATTGCATCGGTTCCGTGCATACAGTACCTGTCATAGTTATGTTGTTGAGTTTCTGCCAAACCTCTTGCGCCGAAACTCTCTCTTCCCCTTTTCCCCTCAACACCCTACACCCGCTCATGCCTGCTAAACTGCCCTAAACCGCTTATACAACTATCCTGAACCCCGACCGGTGCTTTGCCGCTGAAAATTGCGCTCAACCCTAAGCCCTTTCTGAAACCCGAACTTAGGGTTCCTTCTTATAACTATTGTATAATGGGCCCCAAAATCCTACCTACAGTACCCCCTGAAGCCCTAAACTCCGAAACCCCTCGCTGCGCTCAGATTCGACAGCTGGGATGCCTCGACAGGTTTCTCCCGGCAGTGATGGCAATGACGAGGAGCGGGGGGTTCTACTTTCTGTAAGGGTGGGGTTTAGGGTTTAGGGTTCAATACGGGTTTCTGTAAGGGTTGGGTTTAGGGTTTAGGGTTTAGGGTTTGGGGTGCAATACGGGTTTCTGCAAGCTTTATCCAGAAGGGTTCCTTTAATAATTTAAGGGCTCTATAAGGGGTCGATGAAGGGATCCATAAGGGTTCCTTCTGGAGGCTTCTAGGGTTTCTGTCAGGGTACTATGAAGGTTCCGTTCAGGATCTCGAGGGTTCTATAGTAGGGGTTTAGGGCTGGGGGTTTGTGGTTTCGGGTTTAGGGATAACTGTGCTTGCAATCCTGTGGGCCACAATGACCAGAATACGTTTTTATTGTTGAGGGCTTGGGTTCTGATTTTGATGCACATCCGAACCCTAAACCCCAAACCCTGAACCCTAAACGCTAAACCCTAAACCCCAAACCCACAGCCCCAAACCCTAAACCATCATCCCTGAGCCCTGCGATCCTAAACCCTATGCCCTAGCTCTTGATACTAACCTTGCAGCTTGCAACCCTTCATAGTAGGAACTCCTATGTATCCCTTTAAAGATCCCCAAACCCTCAACCCTACCCTATAATAATGATCTTTTAAAGGTTCCCTTATGCTTCCTTTAAAGGAACCCGTGCAAGGAACCCGTATAGATCCGTTAGGGGAATCCTTGTGTTATCCCTGTCAGGACCCCCTAACCTTCAACTCCACCTCTGTTCCAAGTGTTTTAGGGTTTAGGGTTTAGGGTTTAGCCTAAACCCTAAACCCTAAACCCTAAACCCTAAACCCGGCAGGAGCAGCGAATCGCCACCCTGCAACGTGGGGACTGGAGTGGAGGCTACGCGCTGGTGCCTTTCCTGAGATTCGTCTGTTGGGTTATGGGGTCTTCCGAAAATGGGGGACCCTAATAGAGTACCCTAAATAGTAGGATCCCTATTCTAAGGACCCCAAAATAAGGTACCCCTTATTTTTGGAAACTCCCTTATAAAGTGGAGCCAATAGTTAGAAGCAGATTCTTGGGGTTTGAGGGTTTTTTTTGGGGGGGCTTTGGGGGTTGGTATCTGACCTTAAATGACAGTTGTGAGTGCTAGTCATCATGAGTACCTTTTGCAGGACTTATTGCCAGTCTTACTGCGATTATCATCGTTGCTAGTCTGGTTACTGTAATTCTGCATACTGCGGGTACTTCTGAAGCAGTCGAACACACGAGCTCATACGAGACAGCGGGGGTTGTGCCTTGAATCGGGGATGTAGCCCTCGACTAGCCCCGAAGATCGCAGCCCAACGTTTGGAGACTCGTTCCTGTGCTACCTGCGGTGGATGCTTCTTCTGATGACCCGGAGGATGAAGTCGCCATCTCATTGTTCTTGTCTGCTCTCGTCTTCGGTCCCTCTCTCCCATTCTTCGTTCATTGCTGTCGTGGGTCATACTGTGGGGTCTTTGTTGTCAACCCTAAACCCTGAACCCTATACNNACCCTATACGCTAAACCCTAAACCCCGGTCTTCGCGAGGTTCAGACACGTGCCTTCCGCGCGTCGGTCATCGCGGAGCCGCCGGGTGTGACTTGCTACACCATCTCCCGCTTCCGGGTGGCAAATAGTACTACTACTACTAGTACTACTACTACTACTACTACTACTACTACTACTACTGCTGCTACTACTACTACTACTACTACTACTACTTCTACTTCTACTTCTCCTTCTACTTCTACTTCT